TGCTACACTCAGCAACTTTAGCAACGAACAAATAGATCGAGTAATCGAAATGTTACGGGATCCAAAACCTTCTCACGATCAAAACGCTTTAACTGGTAGGAAATATTGTCAATATTTCTGGCTGTTCCTAAAGTGTCATTTATCAGTTATTCATATTTAAAAGATGTCCTATATTTTCAGATATTGATCCAAAAATAATGGACGTGTGCAAACGCATGACAGGCCTCACAAAGGAGCAGTTCTATCACCTATTTTATTCGCTACGAAGTGCAAAGGAGCACATAAAAAATCAACGAACAGCAGCTTCTGCATTGTTCATGTATCTTATGAAAATGAGAACAGCTTTGCCATATGAGGATATTGCACATACATTTCACGTTACCGCCAAAACGGTGTCAAACCTCATTTCGAAGATTCGCCGGGTTCTGCAGCGTGATTTCGTTCCACACAATGTGAACTATATTCGAACACGCGAAAATCTGATTGAACACAATACGACAATGAGCATTGCTTTGCTCGACCCTGAAGATCAGAAAAAAGTCATGTTAATATGTGATGGCACGTATATATTCGTAGACAAGAGCCGTAACTACACACACCAGAAAAAAACCTACAGTGGCCAAAAAAAACGAAATTTTATCAAGGCAATGATGGTAACTGCCTGTGACGGAACAATCATTTACTGCATCGCCCCATTTCCAGCTGTTATGAACGATGCTACTATACTCAAAGATTTATTCGAAAACACCATTATGTTTGACAACTTATTGGAAGGCGATATCATGTTACTTGACAGAGGCTTTCGAGACGTAGTCTCCCTAATCGAAGACCGCGGATTAATTGCCAAAATGCCATCATTGGTTCAAAGCTCTGAAAGGAAAGGCCAGCTATCCACTGAAGCCGCAAACAGATCTCGGATTGTGACTGCTCTACGATTTATGGTCGAAGTACGTAATGGTCATTTGAAAACCATTTGGAAAATGTTCAATCAAACCTGGACGTCATATCAACAGGTGCACATCAGTCAGGATATCGAAATTTGTACATCTCTGATAAACAAATATTTCCAAACATTGGAGTCGAATCACGGGAAAGCGCATGCAGTGGCTAATCGTATGCAAGCAAAATTGCATGAAGTAAATGAAGTAGGTAATGTAGTGACGGCGGACGGTTTCAATCGGCATATCAAACAGTTTACACGGTACCAGATTTTCGATGAACTGCCCACACTGAATAGAGAGCATTTACTTTGGATCTCGATGGGCAATTACTGTATCAAACAGGCTGAATCGTACACTCAAATGCACATCAAACAAAATGACCAGCAATTCATTGTATGGGTTTGTCCAAGAGAGATTTGTGAGATGAAATTCCCATCGTTTGCCGTCGACATGGACCCAATGCTTTTCATGACGAAATTGAAGTCGCGTTTCCGCAGTAACAGTACCCATCGAACATATGTTCTGATCAATTGTAGTGCTGAAGGTCATAACGTAGTATTGGGACACTATTGTGAGTGTCAAAATGGTTGGAGAACGCTGGGTTGTTGCTCCCACATTATGACGTTGATAGCGTTTTTACTCGTTAGCAAAGGTAAAAATTTACCAAACCCAGCTGGTTTTTTGGATAAATTGTTTGTTAACGAATAAGTCATAAGTCAAAACATATTACTAAATAAGCAGTTTAATATTTTATCTCACTGTCACTTTGATGCTGTTAAACAAGGAGTATTAATTTCGTTAATATAGTTTAAATTAAAAGAAAAAATGTATTATTCATACGTACACATCTGGTTTGACGGGCCCTTTCAAAGCATCGGTGACACGATATCTTTTTTTCAGCGGTGTTTTCTCATCGATTGTAAAGCGGAAAATATCACCCTATTAAAAAATAGGATAAAAATACAAATAAAAAACATTGTTCAAGCACTGGACAAACTCAACAAGAAATACAAATATCATAAGTCAATAGAACATTAAACGATAAGATTCACTTGAAGTCATTTACCTGAACACCTTCTACTTTGAGCACAAAGATATGGCCATTATTTTTGTTGACAAGGTCAGCTGTGATCGAGTCTGAGTATGTCTTCAATGTGGCTGGTACTAATTCAAATGGTGAGTTGTTGTGTTCAACTTTGCGGCATCGTCTTTTTGTTGCGAAAAAATATACTTCAATTAGTGGCATTTCTGGAATTGTCACACACATTTTCATTGTGATCGATATGATTTTCATCATCAATCACAGTCATCGTGTTGGCCGAATGGGTGCTTGTACAAATCCACACGTACGAACTCAATTGCGAGTCTGGATCGGAATTTTCTATTGTCATCGCAATTTGCTTGTCAAGCGAATCGAGTTCGGCATTCTCTCCGCCTACAATTTTATGGATCAACTTTGGCTCTCATCAGTTTTTCCTATGACTGGAACTGAACAATTTAAGTTTGTTTATCGATTTGTTTGCAATATAAAAATTTCTAGCTTTGGCTGTTCACCAGGTTTTTTGACAGTTCATTCTTTGACAGTGCATTTTTTGACATTAGTGACAGCTAGCTAGTTTACTTGAAAATCAATTTAGTGTGACATACATCTCAAGCGTAATTTTTTATTGAGTGAACTGCGTACAATTATTTATTTCTTCCGTTAATTCTGGTTTATTCAACTTGTTCAAGATTTTTATTCGAATTGCGAGTGTAATGTAAGTATTTTTAGATCAAATGGTCCAAACAAATGAGTTTATTTAACGTCAACTATATAAAGATCTCGGTTTAAGACCAATTTGAACAAAAACAAAGATATTTATTTCTGAGTGATGTGAATGTTTTTTAGTCAATAGAGCTACAATGAATCCAATTGGGCCAACAGGAACGCTTATGCAAGAGAGACAAGCGTTCACACCTCAAATAGTAAGTTATGCAAGTGTATACACACAATGATGAGGATATTTCAAATATTCTATCGTATTGTTTTGCAGGTCCATGTGGAAAAAGTGATTCCACTGCGCTTCACGGATGATAATATCATCATTTGCAACCGGATATCTGTCACAGATATGCTCCAAACCCTGTCAAATGACATCGGTGAGGATGTGCATTTTCGACGGAATGTCAAAGATGTTAAAGCAAACACGCTCTATGGTTATTTTCGTAACAAAATGTGGAATCGTGCTGTTGTCAAATTTTCTCAGCAAAATAAGAAGGTGATACATCTCCTCGATACTGATGGCGTTTATGATTTTCATGAACGAATGGTTATTCGCGAAATACAAAGCCAGAAACTAATTGACATCGACGTCGGCCAAATCAAAATATTCGTCCATGCAATTCATCAATACAAACCTAAACGCCCTTTCAAGAACATTTTCGATCAAGTTTTGTTGGATACTCCTGTGACTGCTGTTTTTAGCTTGGTTGAGGAAAAAAACGCATTGGTTCATGAGAGCTATGCTGGCGACTTCATCTATGAAGTGAATGGAAAACTGTTGTCTTTTCGTGAAATATTGATCAACGAGAAAATATCCTACCCGAGTTTGGTCACTGGAGAGTTCAACAAGATGCTATTTTGCAAAAGAGCGGAGATACTGTCGCCAAATAATATCCTGACAAAAGGAACAATGTCAGATTATCGTCGTACGATCACGGATGATAATCCAATGGCCGATAGTGCAACAACCTCATTTCTATTCGTGAGACGTAAAAGAACGTATGTTTTTTTTCAGTTTTAAATATTTGAAAAGGAAAGTATGTTTTCGATCGATTTTGTCTGAGTAAAAGAGAAGTATGTTTGATGGCAACTAAAAATGGTTAAAAGAATGTATGTAATTTGAATGGTAGCGTTAGCGAAAAAAGAATGCATGTTTATGGTCAAGTAAATTTTGCAAAAAGAATGCATGTTGTTCTATCTATTCAGTTAATAATAAAGAGAAGCATGTTCTCATACATTTATATTGCCAAAAAAGAAAGTATGTTGGCTAAAATAATGTAAATAAAAAAATTTATTCCGACCGCCACGAACAGGAATTCATAAACCTTAACACGGTCGGACAAGCGAACGACCAATATATTTATTGTCACACACCAGTCGTGCCGTCGCAGTGAATGAATCGAGTGGAGTAACAGGCGCACAGTACTCTCAGAGTGCGCATGCGCGCTCGATGAAACACGCATCTCCTGTCCACTTCATTCATAACCGCGCGCCGTTTCAGTGTACAACAACAAATACATTAGATGTCCGAGCGTGTTAAGGTTTATGAATTCCTGTTCACGGCGGTCGGAATAAATTTAATAATTTACACTATTTTAGCCAACATACTTTCTTTTTTGACAATATAAATGTATGAGAACATGCTTCTCTTTATTATTAACTGAATAGATAGAACAACATGCATTCTTTTTGCAAAATTTACTTGACCATGAACATGCATTCTTTTTTCGCTAACGCTACCATTCAAAATACATACACTCTTTTAATAATTTTTAGTTGCCATCAAACATACTTCTCTTTAAGGCTACGAAGTTGGACAAACTTGCGTTCTTTTACGTCTCACCAATAGATTTGGAGTATTTGGTTTACTTGATGAGAGATTCGAAATATACAACGTTCTTCTTGGAGAGGGAACGGTGATTACTAATTTTTTATTTTTTATTGAGTATATAATTACCACCTATCATTAAAATCTATAATATTTTATTGAATCTTTTCTTTTTTATTTTTCAGTTCGGGATGGTATGGAAAGGTTACGATCTATTGGAAAAGACAGAGATCGCAGTGAAGGTGTTCAAAAGTGACCTTTTCAATAACAAGAAAAACTTAGAAGAACATCGACATGAGGCGGAGATGGTTCAAAGTTGCTGGCATCAGAATATAATTGCACTCATATCCAGCAATGATATTCCCGATCATGGTGTATGCCTCATTTTTCCGTTCATGACCATGGACCTTCACGATGAAATACATCTGAAAACAGATGTGATTGAAATGAAGAGAGTGAAAGAAGTCATGTTCATGACTCTATCCGGCATAAGCTATTTGAACGAAAAAAAAATCGTGCACCGCGACATTAAACCGACCAATTTACTAGTGCGCAAAGATGGATTACTGAAAATTGGTGACTTTGGGCTGGCGGTCAAGTTAAATCCATGCGAATTTTTGAAAAAACCTGCAGGAACACTCATTTACCGTGCACCAGAAACATTTATTGGTTGTTACAACGAAGTGGACACTTGGGTAAGTATCAGAGATTGTTATTTTTCTGTTGTGAGCAGGCCCGAGCTGAGCTGCATTTACTGACTTAGAGCGTCAAGAGCAACCTGAAGCGTTGTTTCAACGTACCCAAAGAACAAAATTTCTATGAATTGATTTGTCCTCTTTTATAGGCCGCTCACTCTCAAAAATCAGCCATATCTGTTATTAATATACCTTGTAGTAAACGCGTTCATAGTGTTTCACTGTAGTAGCAAAGTATCCTATTAAATTCCACTGTAGTATTACTACAAGAAAATTTAATAGGATACACCGCTACTACAGTGAAACACTATGAACGCTTTTACTACAAGGTATATTAATAACAGATATGGCAGGATTTTCGAGAGTGCTGGCTGTGTCATGATTGAAATGTTGGCCAAAAACTACAGCAAATGGTTCGACAGAGAAGATATGTTGCATTCACTCTTTGACATATTTGGAACAACGAACTTTGAAGGATGGTAAGTCGATTGACTACTGATGAAAATTCGAAAAATATTCATTTGTTCACTTTTATCATAAAAGTAAATAAGAACTTTCATAAAAGTTTTATGTCATTTTCAGGCCAGTGGAAGGCATATTTTGGCGACGAGGAACATTCCGGCAAGATCATTCTGGCAAGATTGGAACATTCCTGAAAAATGTGGATGAAAAAAGCGTCCAATTTATTCGGTACATAATGAAGACGAACCCAAAAGAACGGCCATCAGCCTGTCTCGCTCTAAAGCAAAGCTTTTTTGCAGAGTGCTAAATGTATAGCCCCATTTATCAATATGAATAAAGATCTCGGAGCCGAGAAATCAAACGCAATTTTTTAATATTCTTCATGCAAATATAAATATAAATATTCATTTAAATGATTTATTTAGATTAATTTTTTGATGTAACACATTGAAATGGTCAAGTTTTATGCTTCTTTTTAATATATGCTTCAGTTGCTTTGTACGCAAGTCGTTTAACCGAGATCTGTATGCTCATTTTCGTCGTTGGCAATATTTATTCGTTATCATTTTGTTGGCTCAATATAACAGAGTCATTGTCGTTGCCTTTTTTATTGGCCGAACCTTGAGGTGGAATGACAACGTCGTTGGGTGGATCCTTCTTCATCGTACCATCATCATTTTTGACTGCGTTTTGGTTAACCTTCATGTAGTT